GCCATAAATCCACACACATCAGGGACTGTGACAACATGCATGTTCAATGTAGGGCGTTTTTTTCAGATATTGTTTGGATGCATATTTCTTATATATTCCAAGTGTTGCAAGAATCAAACTCATTGCTTTTAAGTTAAAGATCAAAACGTTCAGTCTGATTGAAACACTTACCATAACTCTGCTGGTAGGTCATGCTAGCTGTGGGAAAGCAAAGCTGTAAAAGCTGTTGGGATGTAAATGTGTTGAAGACCAAGCTGACTTGTTGCTCTGGTTAATAAGTTCCTTCTTTGCTGTGCACATGGCACCGTAGTTTGTTTATGTATCGATCTAACACTCCCCTGCTGCTGGAATTTTTTTTTACATTTACATGTAGCACAACACGTGAATCAACCAGTGGAAATAGTCCCAAACAAAGAGATCGTGTAATCTTATGCTAATAAGATTCAATGAAACCTAAAGTGCCCAGTTGTTCAAAGGGATTATTTAGCCTTTCATAAATAAATACAGATTTTCATTTATCATTGGTATGTAAAGATTGAGATAAGATAGATGGACCTACACAACTGGTTTAGGCATTTGAGATTTGATAAGATAAAGAAAAATAGATAACTATGCTCACCTTCTGATTTCCATGCCACATAGTAAACTTCAATCTTGATATTTCAGTTACTTATTTTTATTTAGTGAATTGTCTTTTATAAAATAATATTTTGTCTTGTAACAACCCTGCATGTCCATTTCAGTGGGTTGCAGAGTTCAGATGCAGGAGTACAAGATGACATTAAAAACATATTTGTAAGATTTTTGTTGCTTTAGATGTAACATCAGGCATTGTTTCATAGTGCATAACATGCTGCAGTCTAATTTCAGGCTCCTCGCCTGGAAGAATTTAGTTATTTGGAGTTTTAGGGATCATTTTACTTTTACTGATTTACTTTACTGATGTGTGTGTGTGTGTGTGTGTGTGTGTGTGTGTGTGTGTGTGTGTGTGTGTGTGTGTGTGTGTGTGTGTGTGTGTGTGTGTGTGTGTGTGTGTGTGTGTGTGTGTGTGTGTGTGTGTGTGTGTGTGTGTGTGTGTGTGTGTGTGTGTGTGTGTGTGTGTGTGTGTGTGTGTGTGTGTGTGTGTGTGTGTGTGTGTGTGTGTGTGTGTGTGTGTGTGTGTGCGTTTGTGTGGACAAACTTGCAATGTGGACTCTTCAATAATAAACCAGCTGAGGGACAACCCTATAAACACGTAATGAGTGTTCAGATGGGATGTAAACCTGCAGAACGTGTTTAGTCTGTTTCCCTTCAGAGGAAAAGTGTAGTAGAGGCTTTATGAGTTGGCAAGCATCTCATCCTCCAACCATAAATAGAGAGTCTGTCTCTGCTCTTTGTGGTGAATCCTTGATGACAACAGGACCAGTGAACAGGGGGGTGGGGGGGCACTACTTGTGACAGTGGTGTTCCCCTTACATTTACATGCTCTGCCAGTGTTTAGATGGTCTCGGTGTGGTACCAAAGAATGGCTGAATATTAACACATATAAGGCTAAGAAAGAAATGATTCATATAAAATAATAAATAGCATGTAAAATCAAATGTGCACTGAAGAGGTGTGTGGACTCTATAGGGAAACATGTATACCTTCTTTATGTACAACAGGGCTTTTGCTCTTCTTTATTTTGTGGTTAAGATAATGGATGAATGAGCATGAGATAAAAAAAAACACATCAAGGTAAGGCAACTTAGTCAATATTTTCTTTATATTTCTGATGTAAATACATTTTCTTTTGTCAATACACACATTTTAAACAACATGTAGCCTATGTCACATAATGACTTAATGACGACACATAAATGTATCAATAAAACAAAGCATTCAGTAATCTGAAGAAAACATGTTCCAATGCAATAAAACACCCAAAAAAGTCCCTGAGACAGTCAGGTCGATGTAAATGAAAATTAACAACTGAACCTTAACTGCAACTTTCTCTTAATTTGTCGACTTTTCTTACATTTTCAAAGTTGTTACATTCGAATTTCATCGTTTCCCCTCTGAAATAGAATCCTGCAATATAAAACATGTCGACATTTTAGTTATTAACCTTATAGTTAAACTTAATCACATTAAAGTCACAATTAAGACTCAAAAAAATCGAGCAGTTTTCAGAATTTCCTCTCAAATCATCTCGAACACAAACTAACTTTTACATGAAATGAATAATCTGAGGATCGCTGTGATAAAATCAAGGTCTCTTTATCATCATCACCTCCTTTGCTGTAAATCTCCACTTGTCAAACCAGTTCAAACTATAGGCTACGGGTCAGTCCAGCAGAGTTCAGTGATGAAAATCCTTTCTCCACTTCCACTTTACTCTTTTCTGTGAAATTCAGTTTTGATCCGATGATAATCCAGCAGGACTTTGTACGACGCAGACAACGTAGAAATAGTCAAGACCCGTTTCATTAAAGTCAGACAGATGAAAGCAGGACAAGTTTTCCTGGAGGTCTTAATTTCTTCTGCACCGCTTCCTCATCTCCTGTTCCCTCATCTCCTGCTCCCTCTGGTCTCTCGAGTCAGCGCGTGTGACAACATAAAAGCCCTCGTGGGATGCAGACGGACGTATCATCGCGATATGTCCTGTAAGAGCCGACTCGCTCATAAACTTTATCCGAGAGCTGATTATAGGTCTTGTGTTTAAGAAGAGGGGACGCATCCTGTTCAAAATAATAATTACACTTGACGAAGCAGCTGTGACTGCACCTCTGTGTTTCAAACCTCTCTCCCTGTGGTCGAACACACAACTCTCACTGCTCTCCATCATCTTTACAACGAAATACAAACTAAATGTACTCATTACAAGGTGATAGAAAAGTTAAATTAATAACAGTTGAATAAAAATCAAGTATTCCTGAGTAGAGTTCAGCTCCTTGTTCTCATTAATAGTTCGCCTACATTAGGGCTACACTTCCACACATGTAAATATTAGCCTGCAGCAAGGGGGCGTGGTCTGTTTCCCTTTTATCCAATCACAGAGACAAAATGAGCTCCCAGCTTCAACGTCTGCTCCTACACAGATCCTCTTGCTTTAATCTGAGTTACTTACCCATTGTTATCATTTACTCTTTACTTATGCAATCTCATATAAGGTAAAAATCACATTTTGAGCCTATAGCCTATTTAAAATAAACGTTGCTTCCAGTTGGGTGGCAAACTATCATCCTGATCGCATGCAGAAAGATGCTACCTTAGTAAGTGTTTAACAACAGTTTCTAACCAGGCTCTGCATGGTAAAGTAGAGCTTTATTCCTGCAGAGCTATGGGACTATGCTGCTGTTATTTCTAATTGAGTGAAACTTCCTCTTTGCACGCCAGATTGTTGAATTTGATCTTAGAAGTCAGAACAAACCGATGTCCAATATAAGAGTGGGGTTTTCATGGTAATAATAAAATCTAAAACTTAATTTGCTCTATTTGGAGATACAGTAAGATTGACTTTTGTCATTTCCTAGTTTGATGGTCAATTAGAGCAAAGCTATTTCTCTGAAGTTTAAGAGTTGTTGATTGGAAATCAAGATCCAAAACCTTGAATAATTTTTGGCATACATTAAATAATTTCTTTCAAAACTGAAATTTGAATCTATTCCTTTGCTTTTTCTAAACCAGTACAATTTTCTAATACGTTTTTTAATGCAGATCATAGCCAATATATATATATATTTTTGCATGTTTTGTGAATAATTGCCTTGTTTTAGAAAAAGATCGGATTTTTTTTCTACTGTTTAATAAAAAAACGAAACATTTTGAGGGCTTATTTAGGTTCTTGACACAGGACTCGTGCATGAAGAAACGGTGATGGAGATGAAAGAAAGAGCTGCACTCAGGGTTAAAATGGCCGCCATCAACACTGAACACTGAGGTGATTTGTAGCCTGTATTGTAGTGGCTCATATATAGACCCAAATCCATGAATGAAAACAAATACTCAAAAACAGTGGGAAGTAAAGTCTGCTGAGTAACTTTCAGTTTACGTGCTGAAACATTGTTAGACCAGCACCAATTTTTAAATCTCTGATAAGTTCTGTGTCAAGAATTTCATCTGACTTGATGCGCTCATAAATCCTGGGATGAATCATCTTATAAAATGTGAACACAGTTTTTTTTTTCTTTAGCTTCCCCCACCATTAAAGATTGGTGCTGCTCGGTTTGAAATGTGTTACTTGGATTTGGAATGCAAATGCTTTGTTCATGAGGAGGAGGGATCAGCGAGGAGTCTGAAAGCGACGAGTTTTTGATTAATGAGCTTTGAAATGGCTCTCCAGGAGCAATAAAGGATGAACTGCGCTCTCTCTCCCTCTCTTTCTCTCTCTCTCCCTCTCTCTCCCTCTCTCTCTCACACACTCTCACATTCATATGCACATCCACCGTTGCATCATTCCCAATGTCAAAACATATTTTTCTTGTTTTGCTTTTGTTGTCACCAATCTGCTCTGCCTCAAACATCAGTGAATGAAAGGACATCTTTTTCTTCTTCTGCTCTCATTTATGGGAAATATTTGAAAGCTGCCTCTCAGCGTGCACTTATCAATTAGACAGCTTTGATTGGGCTTTAGTCTATAGGAAAATGCAGCTCATTCCCTTTCCCCAATAGGGATAATCATGTGACAGAGTCTGGAGAATAATAAGTGACATGTTGGTGGTGCAGTAACCTCATAGACTCCCTCATATCCCAATAAAACATCAATAACCTGCAGAGCCTTTTATTCCGCAGAAATGCACTTTGCATTGGAAGCATAGAGCCGTCTGATGAGTTTCAGTATCCTGGTGTCTAATTATTGATCGCCTCTGCCTGTTTGGACTGTACAGTAGAGCTGTGGAGTCAATAAGCCTCTTCTGTATACTGTTTCACTGAGAGCACAGACTTAATGAGGAATCTTAAACAACTACAAACAGAGGATGAGCAGCGCTGCTTACAAAATCAACAAAATGCAGTAAAATATACAAGTTTGAGCACTTTATTTACAAAATGTTAAACACAATAAAATATAACATTTCAATATCATCAGGGGGTTTCATAAATTTATGGATATCCAACTGAATGGAATAATAATGAGAGACAAATAAAAAAAAGCAATGACTACACGAAATGACATGCTGGTGTGTATAATATTTTATAATTCGATAGTCTACGTTCTGCTTAAGGTTTGACACAAGATAGACATGGACATGAAGTGGTGTTTATACACTATCAAATGCCCCATTTATGCCAGATTTACAATTAAGAAATGCCTTTTTTTTTCGACCATACACTGCGAGTCATAGCATTTTCCAAAAACCCTGTTTTACCAACACTTCCAAGTGCACTGATGTGTCCAATCTTACAAAAACAAACTCCACACTTAAACGTATAAATACTCGCATATAAACGATAAATAATGTGCAATACAAAAGTTATTAAATAATAAATAGGCTAATATGCTATAGGAAGAAAGATTATGCAAAAAATAATACAAAATAAATAATGTCCGTGAGGAGACTGAAATCCTGACAAACAGACATAACATTTCCCTAAGTCCTTCTTTCTAAACATGAGCTTCTACTTTTGTGAACTACGACTTACTTTCAAGTAACGCCATGGAATATTCAATCAAAAACTGCGCATTGCACTTGAGAAAACAAAACAAAAGTAACTGACAACCAGTCTGGGCGTCCCCAAATATTCAAGAGAAATTGACAAAGCTGTATTATTTAGAAAATAATTACACAATAGCATTAATAGTAATATCAATAATACTGGAATAATACACAACTCTCTTGGAGTGTAGTTATTAGACTAGTGAGGTAATAAAAAGAGCGCAACATAATTTGGCACACACGCACACACACACACACACACACACACACACACGCACACACGCACACACGCACGCACGCACGCACGCACACACACACACACACACACACACACACACTCACAGGAATCACATATTACAAATGTGTGAGTTTAGGCGCTTCCTGAATCCTTCCCTGAGACGCTTGGTGAGAGGTGAGGTCTGTGTACGTGGGATGGGGATCACAGGGTCCGTGGTGGTGGTTTCCCGGGATCTGAGCGGCACAGCTGTAGTCCACGCTGGTGGATGAGGGGTGGGGAAGGTGACCCAGGTTAAACATGGGGCCCGAGGCTGGCATGGAATCAACAAAATTCCCCCCCACATAAACTGGGCTGCCTTGCAAGTTTGCGTTGGCAAAGCCGCCGTTGCTCTGCATGCCGTGGTGTTCGTACTCGGAGCCCGGGTACCTTTTCTGCTGCGGGATGCAGCCACCCAAGGGCGCCGTATACGCAGCCAAACCGTACATGTTCTGCTGGGGTTTGGCGAAGGACGGGGGGGAGGGTGCGTCATAGCTGAGGCTGTTTTGGAGCTGGCTAGGGTATCCAATGTGATTTGGGCCACTCAGCGGCGGGCTCCTATCAGGGGAGTGCCCCAGGGGAGAGTGTGCGAGCCCCTTAGCTTTCTGATCCTTTTTGTATTTCATCCTCCGGTTTTGAAACCAGATCTTTATTTGACGCTCGGTGAGGTTTAACAGATTGGCCATTTCCACTCTCCGCGGGCGACACAAGTAGCGGTTAAAGTGAAACTCCTTCTCCAGCTCCACCAGCTGTGCGCTGGTGTACGCAGTTCTGACCCGTTTGGAGGCTGGTCCCGGTGGGCTCTTCTCATCACTCACTTCTCCACCTGTGAAGGGGAAATCACCATCATTTGAAGCTCTATTGGGAAATGCAAAATACAGTGCAATCATATATGTCAGAACAAAAAGGCCCAGTGTACCCCCATAAACATCCCTACACACACTCACAGGGTTCTCCATCATGATCTCTACCTGCAGCCGCGCAGTTGTTGCCCTTCTGCTTCGCGTTCTGCCGGCTTTCCTTCATCCAGGGGAAGATCTGTTTGGTGAGAGCCGGTGTGGCAGAGCTCGAGCCGCCGCTGGATGGAGACTTTTTCTTGTTGGATGTAGATCCATTGGAGCTGGGAGAGGATGCAGACAGTGGAGGTCCCTGCTGCTCCCCAATACTGTTAGCCTGGCTGCTACTGCTGCTTTGGCTGCCGCTCTGGCGCATGCAGTCTCCATTCAGGTCACTGTCTTTAAGGGTTGGGGGCCGGACAGCAGAGGTCTGTATGGGACATACTGAGGTCTGGTAGTCAGTCTCGATGTTAGAGGTGTTGTATGACTGGTGAGCGGGGGCATAGTTGTATGAGTCAGGTTTGGGGTAAGTGTAACCTCCAAAAAGTCCAGAATTATCGTAGTATGTTGCTTTCTGCATTTTGGGAAGTCAAAGCCAATAAGCCGGAGCGACCGGATCCAATTGCATTGATGGTGTTTGTTCACGTGATTGGTGTTTCCCAACTATGCTCCAGGCTGTGACCTGCACACAGAAATACATCAGACTCAATGATGAGGCCTATACACATTATAGCTGAAACTTAAGGTACCAAGACTGTTTGAGTTTGAATAAACCTAATCTCACTGCTTGGCCCGATGCTCATGCTGTCGAAGGCACAGCAGACATTCAATTAGAGACCATCGCAGTGACGCAAATTCAAGCTCCAGATTCTAGCTGTGTGACTCATTTCAAAACAGTTAAAGTTTAACTTTCGCTAAAAGGACCCTCTGGGAGGCTTTAGGAGTCCCTCAGAAAGAAGCTGAATCAGCATTTCACACACACACACACACACACACACACACACACACACACACACACACACACACACAATACCCTTTTCACTAATCACCAGGCCTGACAAAGCCCATCATGCATTGTTCCCATATCGCAGAAATATAGCCCACCAAGACCGCGCGCACATGAGTTTGGATCTCATGTTTACGCACAGGAGAAACTAAATCTGATCTCCTACACTGATTGTTATTAATGTTTATATGACTGATGGGGGAGGAGAGGGAGCGAGAGAAAGAGAAATGTGTGTTTGAGTGTGTGGGTCGTATTAGGTTATTGGGGTTGGAGTTTAAACACGATATTTTATTTCTTTAAGTCCCTTAACACAAGCGTCTACCCATGTTTTTTTGGCCATTGGGGTGTTTTTCTACCTCTGCTCCTTTCATAAATGATTTACCTTCAGCCCTGATTTTAAAGAAAAAGTTTAGATTTATATGTTGTTAGAATATATTATTTTTTTCTAAAACCAGCTACATTTGTTTAAAGTATCTAACATTGAGACCCGCGTCACCATTGTAAGCCAACAGAAATATCAAAGGGCCTGTACTGTATGTTGGTGGCTTGAGGAGGTGCAGTCCGCGCCGTGCATAACAATTGCACCTGTCAGTGTGGACCGCGGGCAGAATTTATGACCGCAAATGTTATGGTTGTAAACGGCCTGAGAGAGGAATGAAAAGCAAAACACTCCTCAGGACTCGCGGCCCTCAGAAGTGTAAAACTAGGCGTAGGAGGAAGGCAAGGGAAAGAATTTCATACTCGGCGGCTTCTCCCATACAGAGGCTCGGGTTATAAATGATGCCTCCATTCTGGCTGCACGCGAGGCTGCAGAGCTGACACCAAGAGAGGAGAGGCTGGAGATATTTTGCTGGTTAGAAAGAGGCAGCGAATATGGTGTTGCGCATTTTGGGACCCGGATAACATTTCAAAAATGGGAGATGAAATGGTGAAATTCTTCCTGATTTCATATTTTGTAGTTAACATGTTTTTCAATAATATTTAATTGGAATTAAAAAACAAGAGATTATTTAAAATGCTGTTTTCTTGCAGAAAAAATAGAAATACATTTGCATTTTTTTTTAATGCTTTGTTCGTGCGGTGGTGCTGCGTAAAAAAATTGGGAATCTTTGGATTGACAAATAATTACGCGTACAGGCTATCATCTCTCCTGTCTGTTAAGATTTAAACCCCCTCTGAAACTCTGTGAGCGTTTTTATGCAGCCTAATAACAAATCACCATTTCACCTTGTTAGTTGGTTGTGATGTTCACTCTCTTCATTAAAGAAAAGTTACTCACCAAAATCTGCGTAAATCTCCTTTATAATCCTCACGCATTCATCACTGCTCCCACCTCGGCCTGCAACAGAGATTAAAGACATTTTTGTCCACATTATTATTTTCCTTTTTAATAAAAATCCACTACACCCACAGTTCATAGGAGAAATGTAGAAATAGCATTAGGCCTAATCTTCCATTTTCAGCCTGTTTTTTAAAAGTCGACTAAAATGATTTTAAAATAATAGAAAATTACGTATTAAAATAGTATTCCCAATATTTATGTGCAAAAATTACCCTAAATCGTTCCATTTGAAAAATGGATTTAACAGATCTCTTTAGTTTAGCTAAACTGGAAGGATTGTACCTGCAGTGACCACACATGACACATTTTTTTTATGTCTACTTCAGGGAGAAAAGTCCTACATGTGCACTTTTAAACAAAGAGCCGGTCCAAATATTTAGCAGTCATAAGCTTTTTTGTGACCTTTGGGGTCATTCAGCATTTTGTTAGAGTTTAATGAACAACGAGCAGTTTGGCTTCAAGTAGACCCAAGCCTCAAATAAATACAAAGCAGCTTTTCAGAGCTGACTCAACCAGAGGAGAAGATGCTCGAGCGACGGAGAAAAGAAAAGACAAAATTAAATGTAAGATATTTTAATAGGCTATAATCGTAGTGTTGTTTTTTTCACTTTGCCTGTGAAGCCAAATCGTCTTTTACTTGAGGATAAATTGTGTTCATGGAGATTCGAGATTCCTTCGTTGTGTAAATGGTGTGATAACTGGTCAATAATCTGCGCCTAACGTTCCTTTGAGCACACTGGGTTACTAGTAGCAGACATGCTCCTCTTTTCACACAGCAGTGTTTTTCGCCTACGCGCTGTTACGGTAAGTTTGGTTCACACAAAGGGCCGGACTCAGAGTCGAGTGTTATTATGTCGGGTAGTAGTTTCTCATGCTAAACCCTCCAACTCTGCTTATATTGTTTGTTTAAAAGACTCAGAGGAGATTTTTAATTGCCAGAAAGTGTTTATATATCTAAAATAAAATGTTGCAGTGTACTAGAAAGCGATACTATCGTAACAAATTTAGTGTAATTATGTATTAAAATGCAAGGTTAATATAGGAGCTGTTAATAAAATGCAACGACGCAATTTGAAGTAATAGGCTTTGTTAAATATCAGCTCTTCTTTTGTTTAGATGGGTATTCCGAAAATAGGCACAAGCGACCGGGTCGTGATTTAGTGCGCATAAATAAAACCCGAATCCACTGTGAAACAGTTGTGAAACTTTTGCAATAATATTAGCAAAATGGAGAATAATGCTTGAATAAACGGCCTGAAATTATTCCAAAGCAAAACAAAAGTAAAACAACAACAAAAAACATTTAAATATGTTTCCAAAACTATCCAAAAACGCATCCAAATCGTAGGAAAATGGAAGTATTCGCATTAATCCGTGTGCATAATCCACCCTGGTAATCCCTTAAAACATCAAATATGAATTCATGTATAATAGAAAGTATCAGGTTAACAAAGCCATACAGCAGAAACCACATAAATCACGGCAAACGCCACTGTGACGATAAGACAACAAATTAATGTGATTTACGATCCAAGAGCGAAAAAAGAAAAGTTCCTCTCTTACTTCTTCCTCCGAGCAGCTTTTCATCCAAACGTGAAATCAAATGAAAAGCGCAGGACGCAATGTGTCGATAATATTTTAACTTAAAAAATATATAAATTATGAATGTGCTTTTGAGGAGGTAGCTGTGGACTCCATGTATCCGGAGGAGGGAGCGACATTAACAAGCATCGCCTCCATGAGCGGAATAAATCACAGATATTCCCTTGCATTATATTAACCCGTGGTTAAAGGTTGCTTTCTGCCATGCAGTTTCTTACCTGTGAATCAATTCATCATAAAGCAGTTTTCCCTCTCAGTCTCCTTCTTTTCCACGCAGTCTCTAGAATAAATCCTTCACCCTTTGTCTGTACACAATGCTGTCCTAAAACTGATCTTGCTGTTTTTCAGACATTTCCATATACCAGTGGAGACAGTATTCCCGAAAGAATGGAAGGACTCGCATTCAGCTACCAATAAAAAGCGAACAAGGTATCCTTATTCCAGAAAAAAAAATCCCTGGCAATCAATCACCCATTGGAATATACAGGAACTCACAGCCCGGATAGGCCTGCATGGATTTGGAGCTGTGAGATTGCGAGATTTTTTTAGGTGTTTCGGAAGCTTTGTGATGACAAATAAAGGCGGCTGCTGTAAGATACAAGCATATTTGTTCACGTGATTGTTCTCTTCTTCAACCGAGCCTTACCTCACCAATCCATTCTGATAAAGGGTGGCGTTTATTTCCCCATCTGAGCTGTGTGAAAATGCCTCACTGCCCATTTCTTTTCATCACGAGCATTTTCAACGCGCATGCATTTCAGTATTTAACACAAGCATTATATGGGATGCTTTGTTTTACAGCTAAGTGAAGAAGAATTTTACACATTTCTATCAGGGCAGGAAATGAGTGAATTGGGTCTGCAGGTTGTATTTTGAAGATTTTCTGTCAGTTTTTTAAGTTAAAGCAGCTTTGAAATGTGTTGGCTTTTTTATTTTATTTGCTCAAAATGAAGCTGTTTCCAACTTTACAAAATAAAGCATGCAGCTCGGGCCCTAAACGCACCACGGTTGAAGCTCTATGAGCAATATCGTAAAATACAAGTTATATTTCATGTAGATGTTCTATTTGATCGCCCAATAACTACAAACGGTGTGGGATCTGCATCCAACCAATGATTTATGAATTAAATGACATGTGTCTTTTTTGCCTCCATCTGGGACTGGATTGTATTCAAATAAAGCACATTATCATCTTTTGTTTGTTGTGTCTGCCCTCACACACAAAGAAGGAGGAAGACACGTCTTCTCCTGCATTGTTTCCAATATCAGGTCAGAAGAAAAGGGGGATGGATCGGTTTGCAAAAATAAAGATTTAAAAAAAAAAAGACAGAATGGATTGCAAGAGGAAGATTAGGAGGCACAGAGAGCGTCGGCTGGGGTATCTTTGCTGTGAGGAAGAAGAAGCAGCAGAAGGAGAAGGGATGCAGAGCTGGTAGCGTCGCAGCATATGTTCAGAGGGTAATAAAAGTGAAAGATTTACAGTTCTCGGCCGGCCCCCCAACAGCCTTGCACCCTTTCAGGAATTACTGAGAATGATTTACAAGCAGGCAGGAGAGTCAGCCTGCCCCAAACTTCCAGGACTTCTTTGAAATCAGAATCAAGAAATCTCCAAACAACAATAAAAACATCAGAAATCCACTTCCCTCTCGAACTAAAAGGAGAGATAAATAACCGTTCATTCATGGTGTGAAAAAAAAAGACTGGAGTTAAATCAAGATCAAATAAATTCTACCAGTCAAACAAGAACACAATTTGATTGGCTATTTTACGATATTCTTTTAAAAATAGCTACGTTTCTTTGTAATAAAATATTTGTTTTTTTAAACTGAATTAAGAATTTGTGGGCCCATTGAAGGGGCCACCCTGGTCTGCATGAGTCCAAAATCGCATTTATCCTGAGTGAGCATCCATAAATACATGTCACTGCCCAATACTTTTTACCATCTATCCTATCAATCCATTTAACCATTTTTGCGTAACCCAACAACCCCCCTAAGATCCACCTTTTCTGACACATTAAAGAAAAAAAGAAGACAAGCATCCAGCGACTTACTGCAGCATCAAGCGCACACATCAAGAGCGAGCAATGTATCAAATATCACCACATTTGATACCGTCATTTAGCAGCTGAGGCAACATGAAAAATGTTGAAATATTTACCTACCCAAGCATCCATCGGTTCGGATGTGTCGCTAAAGTGCCGGGCTATACGCTCGCGCCGGGTATCGGATATTATTTTCTTGGGGGATCTCTTCAGTTTTCAAGTCTGATAGAGTCCTTGCGATTAATGACGACGCCGTGTTTCTAGGGGGACGTGCTGCATTAATTATTTAGACAATCACGTGGTCAGAGAATGGAGAGCGGAGTGGTATAGTCTCCGGATTAGATCTGTGAATGCAGACAGCGCACTTTAATATATCTTAGGGGGGTTGTCTGGCTCGGAGAGGCTTCTGCGAAAAAACAGCTGGAAATCAAATATGGCCGGATGGAGAGCGACGACGGTGTATTCCTGCACTGGGTGCAGTGTCATTGAAAATGGCACTGCCTTTGGCTCCCATTTATTGCCGTTCAGACATGTAGGTCAGTGTGGCTGCACGCTGGATGCTGGAGGAGGCTGCATTGACCTGAAAATGGTTTTATGATACATTTCACTTCAAATCAAGTTTAGTGCCAAGAATTACGACCACTTACAAGGATATTATAATAGATGCATGTAAGGTTATATATTGTGAACATTAGACAACTAATAACATATTAGTTAGGATATTAGATAGATTAAGTGCCCCCCCCCCCCATCTTCTCTTCAGCATCTTTGTGCACATCACTCATGGCAGGATGCTGGATTGGTAGCATCACTTTGTCTTAGGCTTTCTTTGAATCTATATCATAGGCTACACACACACACACACACACACACACACACACACACACACAGTCCGTGCACGCCTCAAACTCCGCGCGAGCCCAGCTGGGATCACACATTTGTCAGTGAGGATGAAAACAGTCCTGAGTGACTGAAGATTGTCTTTCCACATGTCCGTTTATGACCACGTTTGTTTGTATCTGAGCTGATGTGTGTGTGCGCGGAGGGTCGGGGGTCACTGTTGCAGGGGGTCACATTCAATAAAGGCAGAGCTCGAAGGGGTTTAATATCAAATCTTCAGTGTAATGTAAGTGCATGTTGTGTATTTAAACAATATATATGTGTGTATGTGTATATGCCAAAACAGTCACTGATTGATGTGGCGTCATCTGGTTCTGGTCCAACAACTTTGAAAAGTTTTTTAGTTTGAATCTACGTAGACGATTATCCTCAGTTGTGTTTAAATTGCATAATAAAGATTTTTATGCCAACTATTTTTAACTCAGTAAACGGTGTTATTCGAGGTCATGTCAGGTTTTTTTCCTCATAAAATCAGCTCCACAAACAGTTCACGGTGCGTTTTTACGCACTTATGCGCCCTTTTCGGAAAGAGCTAATGAATGAAAAAAACATTAGCTTGGGTAGAAAACAGTTCTTTTACATGTTTTTAAAAATATATAATTCACTTATTTTGGGCATACTGGATTTAGCTTGGTTAATTACATGTTTGTCAGGAGAAGAGGCTGACTTTGCCCATGCAGGGCACATTTGGTGCATTTGTGGATGTTTTGTAAAAAGGGGGCTGTGGGTCCTCCATATGGCCCTTCACAAGAAAAAAAAAAAGTCGTTCCCACTAAAAGTGAGCCTTTTGTGGACTGCGCAAATAAAAATTCGCTGAGTAGCAACATGTACAAAAAAAGTTTTTAAAAACTATTTTTAGCGTTTAGAGGATTTTCTACCTTAGTGATCCGGGGGAATACATGTCCCCCAAACAGAAACGCTTCTCCGAACATTAGAAAAAACGCAACAAAGTGCAAAGTTTGCAACCATTTGAATGCATATTCAGTAGAAATCTTTATTTTTTCCAATATACTTCTCGCATCTCAATGCACAATACAAGGTAGAAAGCATGTACAAAAATAAAACCAAAAAGATTGCATATTGACATGAGGAGACAAATGCACAATTAGAACCTTTTTGGGGGCTTCGTCTTATTTAAATACTGTTGAAACACGTGTAAAACCGTGAAATTCAAACACTGAATCGTGCTTTGAATGCTTTAGTCTTCTAAGTGTGGAAAAAAAGCCTCCAGAGCAAAGCTTGCAGCGCCTGGGAGAGAAAATGCTGCCTGTCCGGCGGGTCAGGGGTGTTAGGGTCAGTCCTCGCGGCTGAAATGTGTCCCCTGGATGAACCTGCCACTGCTGCTTTGTCGACCTTCGCTTCAAATACCTTTTCAAGCCTCTCATGGAGAAGACTTCAGAAAGAAGACCTCCACGTATACAAGAAGAAGAAGAGGAGCTTCTGGGCCTTTTTGTTTTGTTCCGAGAGACAATGAAGGTCTAAAATAAAGAAATATCTGTCTTGAAACGTGACGTGAAAGCCCCCCTCGGTTAGCTCGGTGTCAATGAAAAACTGGAAGATTCCCACATGAACTAAGACTAAAACTTTGCATACAGCCATGCGAATGATGCACAAAAGTTCAAACATATTTTAGATTAATTAAAATTTAACGAATATTTTTTTTAATTAAATTTGTATGTGTGCTATACGAAAATGTACACGTTTTTAAACAAATAAATAATAACGTAAAAAAAAAAGTCATATTAAGAGAAATAAACAAATACTCCTAAAAGAAATGTCCAATATTTGATTATTTCCGATGAGAAACATCCAATATCAATCTGGTGCCATGCAGGAACAAATGCTGTTTTATATTAGTTTCAGATGGCATGTACACTGTTTACAAAGGTGTCAGAGAGATTTATAAGGGCACTCAGAGGAGTATGCACACAGGAATGTCTTGCTTTTTGGGGAATTATATCTAGGCTATGAAAAAAATCAAAGCTTTATTGTACAAAATAAGTTAAAACAAACGAGTCACATAGAACCGTGTACGAGGAAGATTCAAAAGGGATTTTTGTAAGTCACGAAATAAGGTTGTGTCTTAGGCGTGCTGTGTGGAAATAATGTTTCCTTCAAGTATATATTGTGCGTTAAATGTGACGTCTTTGAAAAGACAAAAAAAAATTGTTTGCGTGTGTGTAATTTGAACGAAAGGGTTTCCCTGTTCTGAATAAAATTTTTGAGACCAGCGTGAGTCCACGTGAGAGGAGCAGAAACATTTCGTTTAAATCCATGAAATCAGCCGTGGGTGCTCATTCAATGTCCTCAGGGTAAAAACGTCCAAAAAATAAAAAAGGAAAGAGGAAAACGAAAAATAAATCTTCCAAGGTTTTTGGAGCCTTTTGACGAAATTAGAACAAATAAAAGGCTCAATTTACAAATCTCAGGACTGATTGATTTTCTGACTCAGTCTTGAGGAAACACTGCTGGGGTCATTTTTGTTAAATAATAATAACAATAAAAAAAATCCTAAAAAACAAAAAAACAACCGACATCAGTCCATGCAAAAGTCAGATGCAACCCTCAGTCATCTTTATGTACAGTTCACTCTTAATCTGTTCCTCTCTTATAATGCTGTGATGTCAGTCTGGTTGTCCTTCTGCATGCTCTGCAGATGGCTGGAGGCTGGTGCTGATCTGCCCTTGGTGTTGGGCAGTTTGTGATCTTTCTTCCATTTCATGCGTCTGTTCTGAAACCAGATTTTGATCTGCCTTTCGGACAGACAAAGAGTGTGGGCGATCTCGATCCTCCGCCGCCTGGTTAGATACCTGTTAAAATGAAACTCCTTCTCCAGCTCTAAAACCTGCTGCCGGGTATAAGCTGTCCTAGACCGCTTGGGCTCGGGTCCTGTGTAGTCCGGGTTCACTTTGGTGAAAGAAAAACAGAAAACACAAACAGAAAACAAAGTCAGCAAATGGGGCAGAATCAACTTGCATGCAGAAACAGAACAACAAGAGGAGTCTCCCTCCAGACTCGTGGCGCTGAAACTTTAAGGTGATCCACGAGGAAGCAAAATAAGGAAGTGATTGCTGATTTTAACTGGGTTTAAAGAGATTTGCAGCAGATCTAAGCGCCATTACAGTCGGTCAATAAGTGTTTTCAGTAGCTTTCAGGCGCTCACCTAGCGGCCTTTTTCCTGGGCTATAAAAATTTATGACTTGTGTAATTGGCGAGGCCTTTAAAAGATTCATAAATATTACTCTGAGTGATTTTTAAAGTCAGCTGGTCCACAAGTAAAGAAGAAGAAGAAGGGGTGGAAGTCTTACCAGTAGTTACGTGGACTTTCTTCATCCAGGGGTAAACTACTGCAGGCTGCTTGGCTTGTATCCCATTTTGGCTCTTTGTGTTTTGCTGCTGTCCACAAGTCCGGGGTCCAGCCACTTGCACGGGGGGCCCCTGCTCAGTCTGTCCGCCAAAAGGGCTCGAGTGGCCGGATTTGTCTTGCACATGACCCCGGGGCTGCTGCACGCCAGAGTCCGGCACAGTGCTGCAGCTGAAGGGCTGCTCCGTGTAGTTTGACCGGGGGTAGATCCCTGGATGCTGAAAGTCTGAGTCCTGCGATGGACTGTAGAAGTCCGAGCCCTGCTCAGGTATATAGTTATTTTGTGAATATTCCTCGCACGGAGGAAATTGGGGATCCACATACTTAGAGTTCACCATAAACGAACTCATGGCCATTAATTTCTGAAGGTAGAAAATACTAATTTTTCTCGAGTTGTCTTTTTTTCCTCCCTCCATAAAGCCCTCCTACTTGGTGTCAACTGAATAAAGTTAGCGAACCATGTGACCAGATTGGCCAATGGAGGTGATGCTGGTCCATACACGGGTAAACATACAACTAAAAGCAATTTTATCTGACTTCACATGGACCAAAATTAGACCCTGGAGAGAAAAAAAAATCAGATACTTCCCTGAAACATCTGCGTGCAGCTTCGAGTTTAAAACAACTGCCGAAAAACCAACAAACAAAAAAACATTTTATTTACTTTCCTTAATTTGATTAAAAAAATTATATAAAAAATAAATAAAGAATGTCTGGTTGTTCATAAGGGCGTTTTATCCACGCAGAAATGAAAATATTTCAGTTTCTAAAGGTTTAACCTGCAGTCATGGTGTTCAACAGAGAGAGCAACAAAAGCTACAAAAAGCCCCACGGCATAAAAGCAGCGAATAATGACTGAGGACAATTGATGGACACTGTCTTTGTCAAGAAGGGGTCATCCAAAAGTTACACGAATCTCATCCCTTCATCTGCTCCCATCCATTTGAAAAAAAAAATCTGTCTCAGGAGCCCATTGGCCAGCAGCAGCATGCAGCAGCCTCTGGGAATCAATAATGTGGAGACACAAACGAGCCACAGGAGGAAAAAAAAGAAGCTGCAGCTGGAGTGTGCTGTGGTTTGGGTTCTTTTTACTAAATCCACTTTATATTTCACTTAAACATACACAGAAACGCAGGCTAGGTCTCAATGATGTTTATTGGAAACATTTTGCGTCAGGTTACTACAAAGTCTCTCGGGTTTCAATCTGCCCTGAGCTCTTCCAGAGAAGTGTGAGCTGTTGTCACATTTTCTATCATTCATTCATAAAGTACAACTGCCACTGTAACACCTGACAGCACATCAAGCACCCAATAAGGAGGCAATAAGTCAATAAATCGAAGTTTTTTCATCGACCATATACTCCCCTAGAATCGAATCTGTGACTCTGGTTTTATCACACAAATTCGGTTCTACAGGGTATATATAGACGACGGCAAGCGACAATGCCCATTTTCAGCCATAACAACAGGAATTCATTTCTTTAGAGTAACTCAGCCAAATAATATTTTTCAGAGGGACTCACAGTCAGCATGGAGCAGAACATTACAGAAACAAAGTGACATAAGGATCTAAGATGCATTCACATTAATTCCAGTCACATCAAGCTGGTTGATTTTTTTTTCCTGTTTCACCATTGGACCGTTTTTTCCGAATTTTCTACCTGATGATGGTTTTCTTTAAATTTAGATTTAAAGAAAACTGGTTAGAGTTTCACATTGGTTTAGGGTTTTATGAGTGTTCTGTTTGTTTTTAGAGACAGAGAAGCCTCAAACGTCACATCAATCCATGCTTGTCAAAAAAAGAGAGAAGTAGGCCTATAGATACACATGGTAGACTACATCTGCAGGAAAAACAGCAAAATGCAACAATGACAAAACATCACAGGGCGATAAATAACCTAACATACCCTTACATTAATACAAATAAATGTTAGGAACTTTGACTTATCAAAGATGAGCATTTGTCAAGAAGGTTCACAGATCAGCAGCAGATTACAGGCTATAGCTTTTAATCATAGCACAGCAGAAGAGGCTACGGGGGCCACCGAGGTCAAACTAAATCATTTACAAACTTATCAAAAAGTTCAATTATTTTCAGTGCTGGTGACAGCTCAAAGGGTGCAAAAGTTTATCAATCCCTTGTCAGCCACTAAGCACACCACCATGAAGGCTACTGCAACTTTTTCTGAAACAGACTTACACAAAGGAATCAAAGTGGAGAGGAGGCTGGCATTAGCAGTTTTTTTCTTTTAAATATAAGGAACAGCGAAACATTTTCATTTAAACACACATCTCCTTATCATATTAGGCTAATAGAATTCCACACAAACGAATAAAGCTCTCAGAGTTTCTGACAGAAAATATAAAGTTCTATTATTTTGCCTTACAGGACGCTTAGAGTTAGATTTGAAGATTAAATGGTTATCTCAATGCTTTCATATTTATTAAGAATAAAAAATATATTAGACATATTTGACTGAGTGATAATGTAACGAGTGATCATAAAGTTTTGTAATTTGAAAATCCTGATTTGGGTGCAGTTACATGTCCAGCTTTACAAATTAAATAACAGGCCCTGAACAGTTGTACAATTAAAAGAGAAGTTTATTTCTGCACCTTTTCTTAAATTAAGATTATGTGAGTTCTTACAGTTGATCCAAAGTATCACCTGTTCGTTCAATGCACTTGTATAAATGAAATTGTAGACGAATTCGTTGTTGCACTTCACATTTCAGCATTAGACAGAGTGACCTGTCTGTCACCTTGCCCTGTAGTCCTTCAGACAGGTCAAAGCCGAGAATCACAACAAAAGAAAGATAAAGTCAGCGTTTCCTGCCAGCTTGTGTTAAACCAAAGGCTAACCACCTCTGCTCCACTCCTTTTCCGTTCTAATAACGATCTTTTAGTGCATTAAAAGCTCACATTTTGTGTTTGAGAGCCACAGGGGGAAAAAAAGCACGAGGCCTTTTTAATATAATTATCGATTTAAGAAAATGATTTTTATTTCCTCTGATCAAAAAAGAACCTAAGTTAAAAATCACATTTCAGCTTTATATTAAATTGTCCTACCTAGGGTAACCAGTTTGAACAATTCCTGACGAAATGAATGAATATTTATTTATAATATTTCAAAGGCCTGCAGCACTAAACGCATCAGGCCTTCGCTGAACAAAGAAGCAGACCCATAATGTGAAAAGGGACAGACATATTTGATTGTCTAATCTTAAATTCGGTGTAAGATAGTTAATCATTTGAATGGGTTTAAAGCTGAAGCTAACTTTACGAGCAAACGAATTCAAAATCAAAAACTTGAACAGACGCTGAGTTGCGGATACGCAGCATAAACGTAGTTATTGTTATTTTCTAAGCCTTCAACATTCAAAACTATTTATTGCAGGTATTTGGTGACAACATGTTGATTTCTGCGCCCCCTAACAAACAAGAAGTCCAAAGCTGCAAATAGACAAACTTGTGTATTAAGGCAGTAAATAACAACTTGAACTACGTCATCAACGCAAGCATCGCTTAGTGCAGAAAGCTCTTAAACAAACCCAGCTCTTTCAACATGAACACTATATTAGTCACAAACAGTTCAACCTCCAACTATCTGAGCTCGTCCTCACCGTACACCGAAAATATAAAGGTCCTGACGCACTGTCGCCGCTTTTAGAGGCACGAGCACTGAGCGCGTGACATCACACGCCCATAGCACGAGCATAATGATAAAAGCCCAGCTTACCATAGAGACCGCAACACATGGCACACCGTGAAACAAACACGTCCACGCAGAGGGGAAAGTCAACCTGAAGGTGCAGCAGCTTCACGTCCAATACAAGCTCTATTCCAACCCATCTGGACCACCTTACTAATACACAAAGAGAATTATATTTTGGCTTGTCAAGTCCCGGGCCATAAAACAAACTTTAATGGTGTCACGTGTTTCCTCACAGCCACTCACAGCCGCGCGCAGGCCCATAAATAATCCTCAAAGTTGCACTTACTCAATAACGGCGATTACACTGATGTGCATGGAGGAAAAGTCGTAGAAAGGAGGAAGCGGGGGGGGGGTTAACTGTCGTGAGGGGACTGGGAACTAAGTAGAGGGGGTGGAATAGAAACATGTTTCATTTTGGCCGAGCAATATCTTGTTGCTTTATTACTTTTGTTGCATTGCTGAAGAGAACAGCAAAATCTTTGTCTCAGATCATAATTTGGTAAACAGTCTTATCATCGGTCTATGACCTTTTCCAATTATTCTAACAGGCTTATAGGCAGGCACACCTGTTTACAGTGTATGTGTGTGTGTGTGGGGGGGGGGGGGATTGGGGGGAATTGGGGTTTGGTCTGAGGCGTTTTGACCTCTAAAGTGTTGTCAAATATGCATCACTTATTCGTTCTCAAATTCATTGTTCTCCTCAGTGAACCTGCCACAATAAGACTGATGTCATTCAGTCATCCGGGCCTGTCCCAGGGTGCACCACGCTCACCCCGCCCCTCCTTTCCTGAGCAAACCGCAGAGATGATGACGTTGAGGTTAGGTTTGCTGTACTACTGCAGGGCAGGTATGATAAATGTAGGTGTTAACACTCTTTACATGCATGTCCTCATAAAAAGTTATTCCCTCGACATCACTTTAGTGTAAGTTCCCTTTGGGGCCTCCCGGATGTTAAAGAAGTAGCAGCAGATATGTATCTGCTTTAGGGACTTCTGAAAGAAGGTTTTCCCCCTCTAAGTATAATTTTAGTTTCAGTTTTACCATCTTCTTTAGAGACATGTTTCCCTGCATCATCATCATGACAAGGAAGTCATGCTCAATGTTTTAACTCTGACTAATGATTTGTATGTTAAAGTAGATGTCAATAAAGTGAAACAGCTTTTACTCAAGTGGAAGTCAATAAGAGCAACCACTTTTCTGATAAATCCATGAAACAACTACTGTCTGAATTATTATTATGATTTTATACCGCAATACTATGATGATTAAACTAAATTATAATAAAGTGAAAAGCAGGAACAATAAAAAAAAAAAAAAGAGCTCATCACATTTCAAAGCACTTTGTAAACATCTGTTTTTAAAGATGGTGCCAACTGAGGATGTTCTCCTATAGGCTGCATATCCCCGAAATCCACTTTCAAAATTGAATCAGACCACGTGATTACTGCCTCAGCCAATCATCACGCTCAGAATCCTGCCGGTAAAAGCTGCTGAAGGCGCAGGAAGGCTGACTGTTGGGCAACAGCGCCTTCTGCTGGCATTTTAACGACCTCCCCCCCTTTGTCCACTGCAAAAAATGTCCATCTTTGCTGACAAGAAATTTGACCTCATCATTTTGATTCAAAGTATTGATACAGATGGGATCTAAGAAAGAAAACATTCAGATCATTGATGAATCAAACGTTTCTAATTAGGCTACCAACTTACTTTATTGCGCCAGTTGTTGAATGAAAGGTATTTAAAGACAACTGGCTGGAGGATCGATGAAAAACTCGGTTTCAGTGAATTATTTTTAAATAATGATTCAAGAATAATCTTACAGCCTTTAGCAAGTTTTTTTTAAACTTGATTTTGGAAACGAATGTTAACTGAATATTATGTGTGATGTAAAGAAGTGCTTGTTTTACAGTGTATATTTTTATTTCTGAGCATTAAGCTAATAAAGAAATTCAACTGTTTCTCAAAATGACAGTGTTAGTAAAACTGAAAACAAAAGAAAAAGTCATTTTATCACATTTGGAAACGCCTGAAAAAGCTATAGGCCTAAACAAAGCAGAGAAAATGGATATCAGTTTTATGAAGCGTAGTTTGAAAAGAAGAAACATTTGTTTACTTAAATTCTCTCTACAGTAAAACGACCTGAAAGAGTCGAATATTAGACTTCTCTAAATGTGGGAGGGGACTTTAACAAGAATGTAAAGAGGGAAACCACAACCATCTAAGATCTGTTATCTGTTCAAATGCAGGGCCTGTGGTCAGACATTATTTAACAAAACTATCAAACATATACAGAGAATAATTCAGCAATAATATTGTTTAACTAAATGACTCAAAATGAGTCCAGTGTGACTCTGTGGGGCTTCAGTCAGTTCTGTGTTGTAGGGTCCATTTTGCCGCATTGCAGTAAGGCTGTAAATACTTTCGCAGCTGCCTGTCAGGCCACAGTGAAATACTGTCTTTGTTCAGTTGGCCCCAGATTCATGCAGGCAGCTGAACACAAGCTATGAAAACTCTCTCTTGCATATGTGGAATATAAAAAAAACACATTTGTTCGATGTTTATAATAAAGCAGCACTTTAGGAATTGAACAATATGCGGAAACATAATATGGGTTCAGAAGAAAAAC